TTGTACTGGGGATTGAACTTGGGACCTTGTACTTGCAAGGCATGTGGCAGAACCACTGAGCTAAACCCCTGGTCCCAGACCTATATTTAAAAAAATTAATTTTATTGATACATTTTAGGAATACAGTATAATTAGTCTTCACTGGAAATTTGTACCTTTACATAATATATCTTAATTCTTATTTTTTGCCATTCGTATGCCCTCCTTTCAATCCCTCCACTCCTTCCTATTTACAAAGAATTTGTTTCCATGTTTTCATTTTCTCACATTAATTTCATTCCCTTCTTTCCTTTCCCCTACCCCTGCAATTCCCCTTTGCCCTTTTTCTTCCTATTTCACATTGTCTATTATACCTTTTGATCCTTATTTACACTTTGAGTTTCTCACAGCAGAGAAACTATTCAGTATTTATACATGCATGTCCTATTTATTTCACTTAAGGGTATGGTCTCAGAGTGTCCATTTAGCTATAAATGTCTCTGATTTCTCTTTTCCTTATGGCTGAGTAGTACTCCATTTCATAGAAAAACCACATTTTCTAGAACTGTATTGAATGGGAGTGGTCATAGTGGACACCCTTGTCTTGGTCCTGATTTTAGATTGAAAGATTTCTGTTTTTTACTACTTAGTATGATTTTGGCTGTTGTTTTTTCATAAATGAAAGTGGCCTGTATTTCTCTTTTTTTTTGTTTGGGTCTTTTTCTGCCTTTGGAGTCAAGATGATGCTTGCTTCCAGGAATGAATTTGGGAGTATTTCTTCCTTTTCAATTTCATTAAAGAGTTTGAGGAGTAGTGGCATTAACTCTTCTCTAATTTTTTTGTAGAATTCAGCAGTGAAGCCATCAGGACCTGGCCTTTTTTGTTGGTAAGTTTTTAATTATATTTTCCATTTCATCAATTGATATTGGGTTGTTTATTTTTATATCTTGGTTCAACTTTTGTAATTTACATGTATCTAGGAATCTGTCCATGTCTTCTGTGTTTTCCATCTTATCGGAGTACAATTTCTCAAAATAACTTTTGATAATCCTCTGGATTTTTGCTGGATTTCTTGTAATTTAACCCTTTTCATTCCCAATTGCATGGATTTGAGCCTTTTCTTTCTTTTTTTGATAAGGTCAGATAGGTGTTTATCAAATTTATTTATTTTAAGAGACAACTCTTTGATTTGTTGATTTTTTTGGTATCAACCTCTTAGTCTCCATTGCATTAATTTTTGCTCTGCTCTTTATAATTTCTTTCCTTGTATGATCTTTAGGTTTGTCTTGCTCTCCTTTTTCTAGATAGTTGAAGTTCAGTATTAGGTTATCTGAGTTCACTCTGTTTTCCTAATTTGGGCATTCACTGCAATGAATATCCCTCCTAGGACTGCTTTCATTGTGTTTCAGAAATTCTGGTTTGTTGAATTGGCATTATCACTTAATTGTAGAAACTGTCTAATTTATTCTTTAATTTCCTCTGTGACCCATTGATTGTTCAGGGGGGTTTCCATGTGTTTATGAAGTTTTTGTGGCTTCTTTTGCTACTGATCTCCAGTTTCATTACACTATAGTCTGACAATGTATAGGGGATAACTTCAATTCCTTTGCATTTACTCAAGCATGTTATATGAGCTAGCATATCATCTATTTTGCAGAATGAACTATGTGCAGCTGAGAAGCATGTGTATTCTGAGTTTGTGGGGTGGAACACTTTGCAGACATCCATTAATTACATCTGTTCAAAAGTTTGGTTCAGTTCTAGTATTTTGTTGATTTTTTGTCTGTTTGATCTGTTTATTTGTGACAGTGGGCTTTTGAGGTTCCTCACTAGTATTGTATTAGTGCTTATTTGATTTTTATGTCCATTAATATTTGTTTTTTATAGTTGGATACATTAGTATTTGCTGCATATATATTTATGATTGTCATTTCTTCCTCTTGGATTGTTCCCTTTACAAGGATTTAGTGACTTTCTTTGTCTTTCTTAGTTTTCATTTGAAATTTATTTTGTCTGCACATATTGATAACTACCCCTGCCTTTTTCCAGTACCTGTTCCATTGAGTATTGTTTTCCATCCTTTGACTTTCAGTGTATGAATTTCTTTTTGAATTCAGTGTTTTTGTATGCATCATATTGTTTGATATTGCTTCTTGATCCATTCTGCTTATTTCTTTTGATTGGTGAGTGGAGACCATTAACACTGTAACTGATATGTAGTGATTTAACCTTGTCACAGTATTTTTTTTGTTGATTCTTTTATTTTTCTCTGTTTCCATTTAATTTATTGCCTTGCCTAAAGGCTTCATTTTGTTGGGGTTCATACAGTTTAGTCTTTATTGTCTTTTTCTAGAATATTCTTCAGGAATGTTTAGAGTGCTATTTTGGTATTCATGAAGTTCCTGAGGTGTTCTTGGTAATTAAAGTATCTCATTTCTCCATCAGTTTTGAAAGACAGTTTTGCAGGCTACATCAATGTGAATTGGAGGTTGTTCTTTTAGGGCCTGAAATTCTTCACTTCAGACTCTTTTTGACTTGAGGGTTTGTGTTGAGAAGTCTGCTGTGATTCTGATGGCCTTTCCTTTGTATGTGATTTTTTTTTCTTTTTGTTAACTTTTTTTTTTTTTTTTGGTAGCGGTTATTGACTCAGGACCTTGTGTTTGGAAGGCAGTTGCAGTACCACTGAGCTAAATCCCCACTTAACTACTTTTAATATTTTGTTCTCTTGTTGGATTTCTGCAGTCTTGACTATTATATGCCTAGGTGTAAATATTTTTTTGATCATGGCTTAGTTGGAGTCCTGTATGCCTCACTCATCTGTATGTCAAATTATTTTCCCCTATTTGGGATGTTTTCTGCTATTACTTCTATGAACAGTTTTTTATGTCATTTGTGTTATCTCCTGCATTTTCATTGACTCTGACTAGCCTTATGTTATGCTTCTTTGCATCATCTAGCAGATGCTTTATTGATTTATCATGGCTCCTTTCTATTTTTTAGAACTTTCTTTTTGTGATCACTAAACATAATCCTGTCTTTTATATCTGATATTCCATCCTCACATTGGCTCATTCTGCTCTGTATACTTTCAATGGCACTTTAAAACTCCTGGATATCTGTTTGAATCTGTTTTGTGGATCTCATTTCTTTCCTATGCTCAGCATTCATGGGTTCCATTTTTTTTCATATGCTAGGCATTCATGGTTTCCATTTATTTCCTATTTTTGGCATTCATGGTTTCCATTTCTTTCCTGTGCTGGGCATTCTTGGCTTTCATGTTCCTAAGCTCCTCTATTTTAGAATCTGTATCTGTTCTAGAGTCACTAAGCACATCTTTCATTTTGGTCACCATCTTTATAGTTGTCTGGGAAATTATTTCTTATTTCCTTTTTTCTAGAGTGTCTTCATCTGTTTTGTTACTTCCCTTGGTACCAGTTTAAGGAGTCCAGCTGATTGGCCTTTGGATTGTTCTACCTTGTTTCCCCTTGGATTTGCTTTTGGTGAGCTGGATGTCTGGATTTGTGTCTCATTTAGCTGTCTTCTCATTTTTCTTTTGTAGTTTTTACTGTTTTTATTTTAATTCCTGGGTTGATACTTGTATATTGCTTATTACAAGTATCTTTATCGCTAGTATTTAGAACCCTAGGGAATGACTAATCTTCAGTACTGTCTTCCAGGTATAGCTGGTCTTTGGGGTTTGAGTGTGTAATAATCCTTAGGAAATCTTGGCTTTCATATATCAGAAAGGATAGCTTCCTACAACAATCATGTCACCTTGGCTAAAGTAATAGAATCAGCATGAACAATAGCATCAAACACAGTTTAGAAAATGACAAATTGTGGCAACTATTAATCTGGTCAACTTTACCCACATGCACTAGACGTGGTTATATATCAAAGTGAAGAACCAACCAGAAATATGTTTGCAGTAAATAAGCCCTTCAGTATAGTGAATTTACCCTACTGGGAGAGACATAGAGGGAATTAGCTGGGAGGATAGAGAAATAGGAGAGGGAAAGGTTAGAAGTAGAGGTAGAGTACACATGAAGATCATGTAAACTTTAGGAAACTGGTGAAGACAGGAGGAAAAGAGAGAAGGAAAGAACTAGAAGAAGAACAGAACAAACTAATGACAACAGGGACAATCAACAAAAAGACAAAACAGGAGAAAGACAGGAACAAGAAAGGAGAGATATGAAGAAGAAAGAAGAAAAGAAAGAAAAAGAAAAAAAATGTCCTCCTTAAGGCATATCTCCATTGTCACCTGTAGATAACATGGGTAATGACGTGCTGATCCAAGTGGATTAATCTCAATGAGCCAGCCACAATCCACCATGATTTAGACTAGTTTCTGGGTGTGAGGCTGGATTTTAGCTCCCTGACTTCTTGTGGATTTGAACTCTGCATGGCCTTCTCCCTTCCCTGAACCAGCCCTGACATCCTTTTGAGCTCTGCCACACAAGTGGAGGAGACTTGCCTGGTACCTCGATTGTCCTATTGCCCATCTTCATTCAGTATATAAACCTTCACTCATCGTCGTGTATCTCACATGGTTGGTAGCTGCTGACCCGACCATTCTGGCCGTGGCCTCCTCACTTACCTCATCCCAGACCCTCAATCTTCAGAGATGGTAGTGGTGGTGGCAAAGGCAGTGGCAGCTATGCAGAGGCCTGAGTTCACCATGGCTACAAAGGTTTAGCTGTGAGAAAGGGTGACAAGGGTCACCAAACTTCACCCCTGCACACACCTTCACCATCCCTCCCTTCTCTCCTACCACTGCCATGACTATAGCAGGTCCACCATCTTGTAATTTCACTACATATCATATTCTTCCCTAATTGCTCTTGCTAATATTTTGAATACTATGAGTAGTAGTGATAGTGGATAACCTTGTCTTGTTCCTGATTTTATTTTTTCTTTTTTTCTTTTTATTGGGTTTATCGGTGTATTGTAGTTATACAGTGCAGTTACATTCATTACTGGGATCTTGTACCTTTACATGACATGTCTTGGTTCTCATTTTTTCCCCTTGTCCCTGCCCTCCTTTCACCTCCTCCTTCCTTCCCCATTTCCAAAAACTTTATTTCCATGTTTTCATTTTCTTGTTCCTGATTTTATTTTTTCTTTTTTTCTTTTTATTGGGTTTATCGGTGTATTGTAGTTATACAGTGCAGTTACATTCATTACTGGGATCTTGTACCTTTACATGACATGTCTTGGTTCTCATTTTTTCCCCTTGTCCCTGCCCTCCTTTCACCTCCTCCTTCCTTCCCCATTTCCAAAAACTTTATTTCCATGTTTTCATTTTCTTGTTCCTGATTTTAAAGGGAAAGCTTTCTTTTTTTCCCTTTTAAGTTGATGTCAGCAGTATATTTGTCTTAAATGGATTTTTATCAGATTGAGATAAGGTCTTCTGTACATATTTTTTTGGAGTTTTTATCATGAGTGGATGTTGGGTTTAGCAAATGCTTTTTCCTGTGTCTACTGAGACGATCACACAATTTTTGTCCTTGCTTTTGCTTATGTGATATATTAAATTTATTGATTTGTATATTGCAAACCATCTTTGCCTTCCTGAAGACTACTTAATCATGATGTATGAACATTTTGATGGTTCTTTTGCAATCTAGTTGCCATTATCTTGTTGAGGATTATTGCATCTGTATTCATTAAAGATACCATTTAATAATCCTTTTTCTCTCCTTCTCCCCTCACTCCTCTCTCGGTTGTGTCTTTGTCTGATTTCTGAATTAGGGTAATCAGAGTTCCCAAAAATGATGTTGGGAGTGTGCCTTCCATTTCAATTTCATTAAAGACCTTGGGTACTGGTGTTAGATCTCCTCTAAAATTTTTGTAGAGTTTAGCAATGAATTCATCCAAACCTGT